GCTTCCAGAAGAGCCACATGGTCACCGTGATGCCCATTTCTCCTTTAATGTGCTGTGAGGATATATCAGCTTGGCAAATGACATGTTTCATGCAGAAAGTCTAGCTGCAAGAGAGTCTGGGGAACATAGTTCAGACTTTTAGCCACAAATATACAGGAAGTCATGCTAGAAGCAATTAGGAGTTTGGTGATATTTGCCACATATGGCTTCAGAAGGATATTAGTTGAATTTCTTGCTTTACATCTGCAGTTTAGTCCATGTATTTCTGGGAAAGAGTAACAAGCCAAAACTGTATCATGTTTTGTTTAGAATGCTCGAAGCTGAACATTATTACTCCCAGGATATATGCCTTCCTAAGCTACAACTTTATTTGGTACTTTTCCTCACTGTTTAAGAGTCAAAATAGTCATGAATTTTAGCTTACACTACTTCCAAAAGTAGTTTGTAAATGATTTAGATAGTTAAAAACAGTAACTGTCAAATGGTTTTAAATTCCTATTCCTATCCATGACCAGAATTGCTCTTTTCTTTCCCATAATTCAAGCTTATTTTTGCCAAGTAATGAAGGCAGTAATAAGAGCATTGAAGTAGCATATAGTTTACAAAAGCATCTTTTCATCAAAGCCCTTCAGGGAAAAGAACTTCCTCCTCACAAAGCAACAGATAGGAACAATATTGAGTGAAAGAGAAGTTGGAATATATAATCAAACTTAAAATCACTTCTGTATCAGTCAGCTATATTATCAACAACCACAAAATCTCAGAGATATACAGCAATTATTATTTATTTATTACTTATCTTTGGGTCAGATGGGACAGCTGTGAAGATATTGGCTCTGTGGCTGTTAGGTACAGGATGGGAGGATGGGTGCACATCTGCTTCACAAGGCTTTCATTTACTCCAGACCAGCAGCAGGCCAGGTCATACACTTTTTTTTTTTTTTTTAAGATAGGATCTTGCTCTGTCACCCAGGCTGGAGTACAGTGGCAGGATCACAGCTCACTACACTTTTGACCTCCTCACTCAAACAGTGCTTCCACCTCAGCATCCCAAGTAGCTCGGATGACAGGTGCATGCCACCATGCCCGGCTGATGTTTTCATTCTACTATAAAGACACATGCACAGGTATGTTTATTGCAGCGCCATTCACAATAGCAAAAATTTTGAATCAACCCAAATGCCCATCAATGATAGACTGGATAAAGAAAATGTGCCATATATACACCATGGAATACTATGCAGCCATAAAAAAGGATTAGTGCTTGTCCTTTGCAGGGACATGGATGAAGCTGGAAACCATCATTCTCAGCAAACTGACACAAGAATAGAAAACCAAACACTGCGTGTTCTCACTCATAAGTGGGAGTTGAACAATGAGAACACATGAACACAGGGAAGGGAACATCACACACCAGGGCCTGTTGGGAGGTGGGGGACTAGGGGAGGGATAGCATTAGGAGAAATACCTAATGTAGATGACAGGTTGATGGGTGCAGCAAACCACCATGGCATGTGTATACCTATGTAACAAACCTGCATGTTCTGCACATGTATCCCAGAACTTAAAGCATAATTTTTAAAAAGCTTTTATTTTTTATAGAGTCAGGGTCACTATGTTGCCCAGGCTGGTCTTCAACTCTTGGGCTTGAGATATCTTCCTGCCTAAGCCTCCCTAGTAGCTGGGATTATAGGCATGATCCACAATGCCCAGTTAATTTTTTTCTTTTTCGTATTTTTAGTAGAGATGGGGCTTTGCCATGTTGGGTGCCAGGCTCGTCTCGAACTCCTGACCTTAAGTGATCTGCCCACCTTGGCCTCCCAAAGTGCTGGGATTACAGGTGTGAGCCACCACACCCAGCCTGTCACATACTTTTAAAGCAATGACAAAGCCACAAGAAAGTGAGCAGAAACACCGGTTCTTCTTAAGGCCTAGGCTTGCAACTGGCACACTTATTTCAGTACACATTTTACTGAACAAAGCAAGTCACACGTTCAAGTCCAAAGACAAGGATGAGAAAGTATATATTCTGCCTTTTGTAGAATAAACTGCAAAGTTACATGGCAAAGAATATTGACAGGAAAGGGATCGTGAGAAATTAGAACCAATTGAATCTACCATTTCTGCCAAGTCAAAGTCTGATGATTATCAAAAAATATTTGAGGATAATTCTTTTATACCTCAAATACCTCTGTTTTCTTATTTGTGACTAATAAATTATCATTAGGTTTACCCACATTCTACATGCTCGGATAATGCTTATTTAATCTCCGTGATTGAGATATGTAAAGAAAATAAATTTCCTAGCTGTGAATCTAAGAGAGGTGACAATGAAAGATTAGGTGTCACCACCACCCCCAATCATTGCAAATTTTGTGAGAATTGGAGAATTGTAATTATTTCAGTATTGTAATAGATTTTAAAATATGAAAAGGCAATTTTGAGACCAGGCATGCTGGTTCACACCCATAATCCCAACACTTTGGGAGGCAAAGGCAGGAGGATCACTTAAGCTCAGGAGTTTAAGACCATCCTAGGAAACATAGCAAGACCTCATCTCTACTAGAAAATAAAACAATTAGCTACTTCAAAGGATGAGGTGGAAGGCTCACTTGAGCCCGGGAGGTCAAGTCTACAGTAAGCTATGATTGTACCACTGCACTCCAGACTGGGTGACAGAGCAAGACTGTCTCAAAAAATAAAAATAAAAGTAAAATAAAAGGCAATTTTTAAAAATCTTGTTTCATAAATACAAAAGACGTGTTTGAGAACACTGAGTGTTTATTCACAAAATCAGTCTAGGTTCACATCAACTATATGTTCTTTTGGACCCATGACTGATTCTAAAAAGGCAATGATAATAGATGAATTTTATTGAGCAGTGTGATACTTCTTGATGAAAAAAACTGAATTATATGATTCCTTTGACTAGCTTTTCTTTAATAAGCATGATGAACATGAGTATGGACTAATGATATTCAACTTAACATTACTTGAGTCAAGAATGTTCTCTGCTGCAATGAATATGAAATAGTAACCTTCAAATTTGATTCTGAATGAATTAAATAAGATTATTTTTCACAGTATCTCCGATATAGTATATTTTGATGTATAAAGAAAAGGTAAGATAATAACATCTTAGAATCCAGAAATGACTACTGGTCAATTCTGTTTTTAGAAAGCCATCCAATCTGATGTTACTCTCATAATGGAAAACAGTGGTACAGAAGTAGCACTTCACAGCAGACTATAAATAGGAAAAAATATACCAAAATTTTAAGTGCTGAAATTGTGATTATTTTTCTTCTTCACAAAAATCGTAATTTCAACAACTAGCATTGAGCTCTTGTTATAAACCAGGTACAGTCCTGAGTGTTTTACATATATTACATTTCATTTACCCCACAAACAACCTGACAAGGTAGAAATTCTTATTATCCTTATTTACAGATGAAGAAACAATCACAAAGAGGTTCATATGTTTCTAATTTTTTTATAATTAAGTATATTGCTTTTGAAAACAGGGCCTGGCACAGTGGCTCATACCTATAATCCCAGTGACTCAGGAGGCTAAAGTGAAAAGATCCCTCTTGAGGCCAAGAGTTCAAAACAAGCCTGGCAATGTAGCAAGACCCCCATCTCTAAAAGAAAATGATAAATTAGCCAGGCATGGTACTGCATGCCTGTAGTCCCAGCTACTAGAGAGGCTTTGGCGGGAGAATCCCTTGACCCTGGGAGTTCAAGGCTGCAGTGACCTCTGATCACGTCATGGCATTCCAACTTGGGTGATAAAGTGAGACCTCATCTCAAACAAACAAAAAAACAGAAATAAAATAATAACCACTTAAAGCAAGAAAATTATAGCATCTTAACAATTTGCAAAGACTGTGACATACTATTTGTTAAGCTTTTTGCCCAGGGTGGTTCTGTGCTATATAGAAAAGACTTTGAGTTCCAGTATAATCTCTTGCCTTGAGCAAGTTCCTTAAAACCTCTGTACCTCAGTTCTGCATATGTAAAATGAGTCTACTTATATTTGCCCTGCTTCTCAGAATTTTTGAGAGGATCAAATGAAATATATGAAAACAACTTCTAAGTCATAAAGTACCATATAAAATTAGGCAGTAATTTATTATGTAGTCAAATTTTTAAAATTTACAGCTAGAATATTGTAATTAGATGTCTACTAGGTAACACATGGCACATGTATAACCAGAAAATTAAAAACATAAAAAATGAATACTTATTGAGAAAATCTAACAATGACATAAATATAGCTTCAAACTCCTTTCTTAGAATAAATAGGTAGTGCTACAGCTAAAGCCAACTGCAGATTTTGAGACATGCTATAGAACACAATGTGTGGCAAACAATATCATTATTTAAATGATATTTTGCATTGCCATTTTGTTAATTAGTTCTCACATGGCTGTAAAATTAGGATTCTTAATATCAGTTAAATGAAGGAACAGCCAGGCGTGGTGTGTCACACCTGTAATCCCAGTACTTTGGGAGGCCGAGGCAGGTGGATCACAAGGTCAGGAGATCAAGACCAACGTGGCCAATATGGTGAAACCTCATCTCTACTAAAAATACAAAAACAGTAGCCGGGCATGGTGGCAGGCGCCTGTAATCCCAGCTGTTTGGCTGGCCGAGGCAGAGAATTGCTTGACCCTGAGAGGCGGAGGTTGCACTAAGCCGAGATGATGCCACTGCACTCCAGCCTGGGCAATAGGGCGAGACTCCATCAAAAAATAAATGAAGGAAAGATTTTGTTTTGTTCACTGTTATATCTCTGTTGCCTAGAACATTAACACATAAATATTTTGTTGAAAGAATGAACAAGATAATATTCTGACAACTGAAGAAGAGACTTTAAGAATAGCTATAACACATCACACAAAAAATGTTAAGTGTAAATAATACTATTAATATATATACTGGAATTGCTTTTACATGTTTGGCAGATTCTTAATTTTTTTCTTACTTGCTTTACTTAGGGACGTTCTTCCTTAACACAAGAGAAAGAGGAGTTTGCCCATGAACATGAAGAAATGAAGAACCTAGAAACCATTGTTCAAGAAATAAAACCAACTGCCCTCATAGGTAAACTTTTTCTCCTCTCCACTTTCCCCCTGACCACCATTTTGACCTGATTGGTGTTTTTACTACCAATTTTGGGGGTATAATTTAGCCTTTTTAAAATTCTAACCCTTTGAATTCAAAAACAAAACCACATGTTCACTCAAGTGACAGTACCCTGTAGAGACCTAGATTTTTAACTTCAGTCCTGTCTTCTTTCTCTTACTGGTCTGAGCTGAAGTGTGTGGCCTCCTTCTGTAGCTTGCTAATACCTGGCACATTTAGCACTTTTCTAGGCTTGATTACTCCAGATAGACAGTGGTTCTCAGCTAAGAGAGATTTTTGCCAGGCAGAAAACATTTGGCAACCTGGAAGCTTTTAGCTGTCTTAACTAGGGCAGCAGGGTTGGAATGGGAGTAAAGGGAGGGGCTACTGACATCTAACCAATAGGGCGGCTGAAAGATTCTGCTAAATATCCTGCAGTGCACTGGACAGCCCCTGTGACAAGGAATTGTCCAGCCTAAAATGTCAATAGTGCTGAGGCTGAGAAACACTGAAGTAGATAAGACCCTCCTGGAAGACAGGGATCACATGTCACAAATCTTTATATTCCTTATAGCACTTACTACCATACTTACACATTGCATGTGCACTACAAGACTTTAAAGTGGTTTAAAAAAAACTCAAAGGAAGTTATGAAGCTTTATACTTTATTTTGTGTATATATAATGTTGATTTTTACCTTGTAATATACTCCATTCCTGTAAGCTCTTGTGAAACAGATGATAATATTGAAAATAATGATGATAATCATAATAAAACAAGTACTTACTCCATGACAGGAATTTTACTAAGTGTTTAATATTGTCTTTACAAAATATATTCTGTCAATAATCTTATTGTTTTTCATTTCCATTATGCTAATTGCTTTATTCTTCTGTTAAAGTTATTTCAATGGGTGGTACTTCACTTTTGAAATTGAGTCAAATGGTTGTCTTAAGTGATAGCATTGGTTTATAAAACTTAATTGCTTGATAGCCTGACACATTGAAATATACTAATAGAATTGCTTATGGAGAAAGTATACATACTGGACACAGATTTCCAAGTGATTGGCCACTAATTCACTGTATTATAGGAGCCAAATATTATCTTTAATATGTATTTGTAGATTTGTGACCCTCAGGATTGTAAGGATTGTTGGCATTAACAAACTTGCCTGTTTTTGTCACTATATTTTAACAGAAATATTCTATACAGTATTTTGTTTAGGGCCTATTAGAAAATGACCTGACAGAGATCATTGATTTGGGGCATGGGCTTCTTGTGTGAATTAACCAATGACAGTGTTAATCACCAGTTTCTTATTTCTTCATTAGGAGTTGCTGCAATTGGTGGTGCATTCTCAGAACAAATTCTCAAAGATATGGCTGACTTCAATGAACGGCCTATTATTTTTGCTTTGAGTAATCCAACTAGCAAAGCAGAATGTTCTGCAGAGCAGTGCTATAAAATAACCAAGGTAAAGTAAAACTATAGCTGATATTTTAATAATCAAATTTGTATTTATTATAGGGAGACCTAGGATATCTAAGGTGCTTACTGTTTATATTTAAAAATTATACACCCAAAATGGAAAGAAAAGCACACAGGTCAGAGGGATAAGAATTATTTCCTTTCCTAGAATGTTGTATAAATCTTCTTCCAATAAAATAAAATACATACTTCAATGTGTTACTGATAATTTTCCTCAAGTGATTTGGAAATATCTAAGATTTAAACATAGTAGTTAAATAGAAAGGATAAAGCTTGGTTCTAGAGGCTTATTAAAATAGCTTTTTAAACTAGCTGTTCCCAAACACTGAAGCATACAGTGTAAAACCACAACCTTATTTTTGCTCTGCAAAATCCTGGGTTTGGGTTTTGGTGCCATGGGTGGAACACTTGGACAACTATCTTGACATCCAGCCAGATTGGGATAGGAGTCCTCAGTGTTTCAATATTTTACTATGATTTATTTTATACCATGTTTGAACTAATATATATTTGACTAATATGCTGAAAGGAGCCTTTTTCCCTTCAAAAATGATAAAACATCATTACAACAAAAAAGAGATTGAGTCTTATCTATCTAAAACATTTATTTTGGAAATACAAAACAAACTAGACAGGTAGACATGAAAGCTGTGTCACTCTGCACTAATTGGAACTTAATGGCTCTACTTTAATCATAGACCCTTAAATGCTTACTAGAATTAATGATTTTTTTTTTGGCAAGGAGTCACTCCATTGTTTATCTCTCTTATTTGTGATGGCATCAGTGTTCTCACTAATTTTGTCTCCTCTCTAAATTGGGGAATTTGCCTCACATTATTCAGTAGTCCTAAAATCCTTAAAGGAAACAAAAAATGTCCTTTGAGCAACAACAAAATTTTAGCATCATGTCTTGCACATAGTAGGCATTTAATAAGTGTTTAATAATTATTTTGTGTTAATATATCTCAACAGGCCTCAAAGGTTAAGAGACTTATCTATAACACACATAAAGAAAGCCAAATTTATGTAGTTATGTTTTAAACTTTGAATGTGTCTGATATAAATGTATGCTTCATATCTTTCTTATGATCTTGGCTAATGGTCTATGCTTTTCTACATAAAACATTAAAACTTATTTTGAGAATGAAAATTTAGACACTGGTTTGGCTAAAGGATTGAATGAAAAGGAAAGGTCTGCCTGTTGGTAGATGTGAATTTCTCTTGCTGCAGGCATAGGTGAAGATAGGAAAACTTAAATTACAATATACAAAAAGACTATTGAACAAGAAAAATATAATCCAAAAATGGTATGGGAAGATTTCCTTTGCCATATTAATAACATATATTTGAGAATGTTTAGCTAGCTACAGTACTATCATTTATTTGATGACATTTCCCCTGAACATATGGTGATTATAGAAAGATAGGCGGGAAGAGTGGGAGTGAAAGAGGGGAGGGAGATACATAATGTTACAGGCCTTTTTCTCAAATACAATTTTCCAAAACCTTTATACATGAAATAATAATTTAGTTACATTAAAAAGTTGTTTGTAACAAAATATTTTATCTGCTAAAGAGCTTAAGGTATCTGACTTGTCAGAAAACAAAACCAAATTCTGTGCAAAACATAACAGTGTCTTAAAAACAGCTAGCTGAGAATTTCTGTTTTTCTGTCTCACGTATTTTCATTTTTTTATATCTTGAAGAAGGTTGAATTTTTATGTTATATAAGTTTAAGAACAACTAAAAGGTATGTTATGACATTTGCTAAAAACAAGTTATAATTTAGACTGTAGATCCAAGAGATATGAAAGTTAAAACCCATTCTGTCATCATTTAAACTGTGCTTGGGGATTTGATGCTTTAGACTTTTCAAACAGATTTCTTAGACTGTGATTCTTTATTTGTCGAGGATTTCTGATTCCTCCTTTGAAGCCTAAATACTCTCAACTAGATGTCCACTCACCGTCACAGATGAGACAAATATTCTTTTGATTAGCAGTATGAAATGCAGTACCGAACAGGCCCTAAGTTAATGCCTTTTTTTTTTTTTTTTTTTTTTTTGAGGTGGAGTCTCACTCTGTTGCCCAGGCTGGAATGCAGGTGGTGTCTCACTGCAACCACTGCCTCCCAGGTTCAAGTGATTCTCTTTCTCATCCTCTCAAGTAGCTGGATTACAGGCGCCTGCCACCACACCCAGCTAATTTTTGTATTTTTAGTAGCGATGGGGTTTCACCATGTTGGCCAGGCTGGTCTCAAACCCCTGACCTCAAGTGATCCTCCTGCCTCAGCCTCCCAAAGTGCTGGGATTACACATGTGAGCCACCATGCCCAGCCAAGTTAATCCCTTTTTAAAGCAAGGGATACATGAGATTCCTCAAAAACAATTATGACAAAATATTAATACTAGGCAAAATGAAGACAATTGTTGAAAAATATTGATAACTTAGTCTTCCTCTTACTTGCCAATTCTACCCCTGCCAATGAGTTTGTTTCCTATGTGAGTGATTCTCCATAGAACTTTTTTTTTGAGCTGGCGTCTCGCTTTGTTGCCCAGGCTGGAGTGCAGTGGTGCAGTCTAGGTTCACTGCAGCCTCTGCCTCCTGGGTTCAAGTGATTCTCCTGCCTCAGCCTCTCGAGTACATGGGATTACGGGCACCCACCACCACTACCCAGCTAATTTTTGTATTTTCAGTAGAGAAATGTTGGCCAAGCTGGTCTCAAACTCCTGACTCCAAGTGATCTGCCTGCCTTGGCCTCTCAAAGTGCTGGGATTACAGGCGTGAGCCACCATGCCCAGCCCACATAATTGTTTACAATATAGAAATATATATGATTTTCTCAGTTTTTATTTTGGAAATGTGTGAGTTCCTAAGCCCCAACCCAAAATATCATTATTTTTAATATGTAAATATTAGCCCATCATTTTTTATCTTCAGAAATCTATTAATTGGAAGCCTATATAGAAATGGTTAATGAGCCTGTGGGTTGAACCACTGCAGAGAATACAGTGATGGTCTTAGGGCATCCTGTACTTTGCATGCTCCTCTTGGGAGTAAAGAGTAAGATAGAGAATAGTAATAATCACCCATTCCGATACAGGTTGCCCAACATCACAAAAGCTTTTCCAGACTAGGAAGTTAATATAAAAACAGACTTCTTTCTAAATGCTCATAATTTAGGCTATGGGGTAGTTCTGTTATGATACATTTGTTTTAAAATATCCTGCTTCTTTTTAAAGTGAGTTGTGTGTGTCTTCGTTGTAGGGACGCGCAATTTTTGCCAGTGGCAGTCCTTTTGATCCAGTCACTCTTCCAAATGGACAGACCCTATATCCTGGGCAAGGCAACAATTCCTATGTGTTCCCTGGAGTTGCTCTTGGTGTTGTGGCGTGTGGATTGAGGCACATCACAGATAAGGTTTTCCTTACTACTGCTGAGGTATTGTAAAATCCTCTCAGTTTACCAAGGGTATAAAATACCATGTGTGCTCAGCCTAGGTTGTCTAATGTTTTATTTATCTAGCATCTCAGCTGCTCTCTGGAAGAAGTAAAGTCTGAAAAAGAGAAAATCTCCAGTGGAGAATAAGGGGTTGGTAGCATGTTCATACTGAATCACAAACAAAAGGTTCTTCTTCAATAGATGTTAGAATAGGTTGTGTTTTGATTTCTTAAGAGGAACATTTTTGTGTCTTCACACATCAGATCAAGTTCTGTGACAGTGATGAGACAATTAAAAATATTGTTTCCAGGGCTAGGCATGGTGGCTCATGCCTGTAATCCAGCACTTTGGGAGGCTGTGGCAGGCTGATCACTTGAGCCCAGGAGTTCGAAGCCAGCTTGGCAAACATGGTAAAACCCTTTCTCTACTAAAAATACAAACATTAGCAGCACATGGTGGTGCGTGCCTGTGATCCCCACTACTGAAGAGGCTGAGGAAGGAAAACTGCTTGAACCAGGGAGGTAAAGGTTGCAGTGAGCCAAGATCGTACCACTGCGCTGCAGCCTGGGCTACAGAGTAAAGCTCTTATCTCAAAACAACAACAACAACAAAAGTTTCCAAATGACGATTAAGTGGTAAATATTTCCCCATTGAGAACATTGCTTAATAATGAATGGCATTTTGAAGGTTTAAAGTGAAATTCTGACATGGTATAGTGAACATGTTTATCATTTAGGGTTCAGTACAGGAAACAGAAACCACCCTAGTATTTAGGCAGAAGTTAAATCAGAGTAGGAAATTAGTTGTTTATGAAATCATTAAAAGAGTAGGAGAAGGGAGCTCTGTCTGGGCCTTGAGGAAAGATTCTCAGAACATCAGAGCAGTCCCACTGGGGAATCTTGTACTGTCATGAACTGTGAAAGATCTGAGCTTTTACTCTACTTGCAAGATAACAACTTAGCCACAATTTCATAGATATTGACAGAAGACATGTAACTCTTAGGTCAGAGACAAAGGACTTTGATTATTCCTGGCACAAGTGATATCATGAGCTGCATGTTCCTATTAGTTCCCTCCTTGTCCCAATCCTCAGCACAATGATAGTGATTGGGCATATATTTGTAAAATAATGAGCTTTTGGTAATCAGAATGTTCATCAGGTTGATATCATGTTTTCAGATTTGAACAGGATACTATTTGTGGATGAGAAACTTGAATTTCTTCTCTTATGATTAAACCTTCGCAGTTGAACTGATCCAAATAGAATTTGATTGATAGTCAAATATTTTTATCCTACAAATATGTTTTCCGTTGTGAAAGGGAGCCCCAAATATATAGACAAAGAGTCTTATGTTACTGACATGATCTAAAGGAACATAATCTTGGTAGCTAGCGCCCGGCATCATTCTATGAGAACAGATGTCTGGAAGCTATAATGTTCTCCTGTTGTTTTCTTCACTGCATTAAAAGCATGCCAGCTGAAGTCTCAGGTTTTATTTAACTCAGAAAATCTTGTTAAACATAAATGGATATCTCATTACTAAGAGAGCATTTAAAAGTTGTTTTTGCATTAATGAAAATGTAATCATTGTCGGTTTTGGTTACTTGCGGTAGTCAGTGTTTTCTTTCTTAAATAACTCTAGCGCCCTCTAGTGACAAATATTATGAAAAATATTTTCAATTTACTCTCTAAGAAAGGTAATCACTACTAAACAAAAACTTTGAAGAAAAACAATGTAGTGTTGTCAACATACCACATCACTAATTCTTATCATAGCTAGTGATCTCTCTGGCTGTATCTTTTGGACTTTCTACTGGTTTTCTCTTAGGCTTCAACCCAACATCCCTGTTTTTTATATCATCTCTATTATGTCCCCATTAATTATTTTGTCTGTCTCCTTTTCATCTCCCTTTTAAGTAAGAGCTTTTCTCTAGCATTCATTTTTTGTTACCAGTTTTTTCTTCTCTTTTTCTTATGCTTTCAAAGATCTTATTCATTTTTTTCTATTATCTTCGTTTTAGTAGTGGCCAAATCTGTGTATCTCTGTTCTCATCTTTTTCTGTTATCTCCAGTTGCCTGTTGGATAATTCCACAGAAATGCCCTACTGTGTCCTTAAACACAACATGATTATCTTCCCTCATTCTCAGCACCCACAGTTTTATTAATGATACCCCCTTTCCAAGCAGGCATCAAAGCTTAGAAGCCTGACATTCTTTTCATTCTCCCTTATCCCATATCTTTCAAACACATCATGTGTATGTATGCCTGTGTAACTGCTTTATCTCTTATCCTGCCTGGAAAGTCATCAGAATTATTCTCCACTGATCTAAGTTTGCCCTTTAGGGTACTGCTTAAATCCCACTACATCCTGGAATCTTTCTGCGACAAGTCTAGCTCATCTTGATCTATCACCTAAGCCATGGCTGTCTTTATTACACACTTTGACATTTAATTTTATTTCTGGTTATATTACGCTCTTGAGAGCTTCTTATCATAAAAGATTAGGTGTGTTCTTTATAACTAAGTTGTAGATTTTCTTTTTTAAAGACAGAGAGTCTTCCATATACTTTTAAAACTTCAGTAGCACCTAGCGCAATGCTAGACACAAAGCAGAAAATTAATAAATACTTGTTGAATAGGATTAAATAGAACTATTCATGTATCTTAGCAAGAAGAATAAATACAATACCACAGACATTCACTACGAGATGGCTGCAAAAAGAAGAAAAGTACTTCTTGTCTAGATTATATTTTGTCATTAACAAAAGTAATGTATAGGAGATCTATCTGAATTTTTTATTTTGCAACTACAAATTTAATAACTGTTAGGATTATTGTCAAAATACTAGTTGGATCTCTTATGGAACCAGAAATTTTATGGGTTAGCACCAATCTCAAAGAATATTTCTGGACATTTTTTTTTGAGACCAAGTCTTGCTCTGTCACCCAGGCTGGAGTGCAGTGGTGCAATCTTGGCTCACTGCAACCTCCGCCTCCCGGGTTCAAGCGATTCTCTGCCTCAGCCTCCCAAGTAGCTGGGACTATACGCATGTGTCACCACACCTGGGTAATTTTTTATATTTTTAGTAGAGACGGGGTTTCACCATGTTAGCCAGAATGGTTTCAAACTCCTGACCTCATGATTCACCCACCTTGGCCTCCCAAAGTGCTGAGATTACAGGTGTGAGCCACTGTGCCCAGCCATTTCTGGACATTGTTATATGATGAAGAGATTTTTGGCTTTCCTGGCACTGTAGACAGTCTTCTGGACCTCTGGTGAGAGCACACAGTGCTCTCCCCTGGATAGCTGTCCTCCTCTGTTTCAGTATCCATTTTCACTACTCTATCATCTTCCTCTTTCTTTTCTTTTCCCTTGTTCCCCTAATGTATCAATTGGAAAGTATCTCACATTTCATGGTACAATAGAAAAGGAAGTGGACTAAAAGGAAACCTAGATTCTGTTCCCATCTTTTTCAACAATTGTGTGATCCCAACCAGCACCGCACCTCTCTGGGTTTAGTTTCCTTATTGATAGAAGTGATGACGAAATTAGATAATCCTGTTAATGTCACTGGTTTTTGTATAGACCATTATATGTGACCATTCACTTCTTATTTGCATACCCGCCACATTGTATGATGTGAAGTATAAACACTTTCTTTCTTTTTTTATAAGGTTATAGCTCAGCAAGTGTCAGATAAACACTTGGAAGAGGGTCGGCTTTATCCTCCTTTGAATACCATTAGAGATGTTTCACTGAAAATTGCAGAAAAGGTAAAACCACTCTTGTTCAAGCTTCATTATTTTTCCTTCCTTCTCTTGCCAAATATGCATTTTTAAGTATTAAAAATCTGCTTCCTTGAAATGTATACCTGTATCACCTTACTATGTCAGAAGTCAGAGAAGTGAGGCACAGTGACTCCATAGAGCTTAGGAGCTGCATTTGCTCCTCAGAGAAGAAAGGAAGAACTGGGCTGAATAATTAATTTCCCTTCCTGTCATTCTTTTTTCTCCTAAAATTTAAATAATTTGTTAGGGCTTCCTGTCAGCCAGATTTCTCCTATTTCACCTTTTGAAAGCTATTCTTTTCTATATCACATTTGTGATAATTAGCAAAATATTACAGATATGGTAGAGTGACATTTAGACCTTGAACTCTACTTTCCATATTTATGTCACTATGGTGTATGGTATCTTAAATGACAGATCACAACTGATAATACTGGGCAGAAGACAAAATAAAGAGGGCAAAGAACTTGGAAGCTGTTGGGGTGGCAGATGAGCTACTGAAGGAATTAGCCAAGAAGAACCCAAAGGCAGAGAAACTTTCTGTAACTAAACTGGAAGACAGGTGGACTTTTTTTTTTTTTTTTTGTAGTATAATTGTATTAGTTTTCTTGGGCTGGGATAACTACATACCACAGTTATTTAGTAACTGTTTTTAAATATTTAAGCCACAGACTGTGTGGCTTAAACAATGGAAACCTATCTTTCCATAATTTTGGGAGCTGGAAGTCTAAGATCAAGATGTCCGCAGGTTTGGTTCCTCTGGGGCCTCTCTCCTTGGCTGGCAGATAGCTGCCCTCTTTCTGTGTGCCCATGTGGACTTTTCTCTGTGTATGTACACACTTGTGTGTCCAAATTTCCCCTTCTCATAAGAATAACCATCAAGTTGGAAGTAGACCATTCTAATGATCTCATTTTAACTTATCTCCTTGAAGGCCCTATTTCTAAATACACTCACATTCTGAGGCACTAGTGGTTAGGGCTTCAACAATGAATTTGGGGTGGGGGGAGCACACTTCAGCCATTACAGTAGTTATATGTTTAAATTGGGGTTTCTCTACCTCAGCACTGTGGATATTTTGGGTGGATAACTGTCATGTGGCTGTCCTGGGCATGGTACAGTGTTTAGCAGCATTCCTGGCCTCTGCCCACTAGATGTCAGTAGCACCTGCTCAGTTGTATCAACCAAAACTACAGACATTGCCAAGTATCCCCTTGGGGGCCAAATTGGTTCTGGTTGCAAATCACTAGCTTAAGCTATTAGCAAATTATCTAAACAACACCAGTTAAAAGTCTCATATCATTATTTATCTTGTTGACTGAAGGTAGAGTTTTAAAAAGAAGTAATGCTTCAAAAACCTTGACACAATAATCTGCTTGGTTATCTAATTATAAAAAAGTATGTTCATATTTTCTACTAATATGTATCTGCTAGTTTCTCAGTAGATTAAACTATTAATATGCTGAATAGCATATATTATTTTAAGTTCATTTTGGAGATTTAAATGAAAAGGAATTAGCTTACAATTAGAGAAGGAAAAAAAGCAGGGGACAGCAGGGGAGTGCAAAAAGATTCAGCTATTACACCTAGAATAACAGAAGAATACAGAGTGCATACACAGAAATTGAGAAATTAGAACAAAGAACCAACTTCAGAAAGGAAGATCATATAAGTGGAGTGCAAGTTTGAGGTATCAGTGGCACATTCAGATGTACCATTTTATCAAATAGATAGAAATGACTGAAACTTAAAAAGAGGCTAGATAAAAGACCTGGGCATCTTCTGCATGAAGTAACTGGTGAATGTCTAGGAGTGGGTGGGGTTGCCAAGAAAGCAAGTATAGAAAGGAAAGAAAAATGAGGATAGCATATAGTGTGTTATTCTGTCTAGAAGACAGAAGAAAGATGCCAGCTGAGAAGAGAAGTGGTCAGGATTTTAAGAAGAGACTCCAAACTGAGCAGCATGCCAAGAATTAAGAGAGAGAATTTCAGAATGGGAGTGGAAGTTGTGGCCAACACAGCCAAATCTTGGAGAGAAAAACAGACGCAGACTTTTATTTGGTACTTTAAAAGTTATCAGAGATTTTTACAAAAGAAATTTCAAGATGTTCAAAAGGTTAAGAAGTCAGAGAATTAGGAAAGCAATAAAATATAAGCCACTCTGTCAGAGAGTTTGGCATGGACAGGACAGAGACTGAAGATTTCATTGAGAGAGGGGATTATTTCTATGGTACATACCTGGGAGCAGAAAGAGGAGATGAATTTCCATAGAGTCTGTGTCAGTAATGAAACAATTGTTTTATTATAAAATTAATGTAGTCATCTTAAACAGGCATGAGGATCTTTTTGGGGTGATGCAAATATTATAAAACTGTGATATATTGTTGTACAGTAAATTTACAAAAATAATTTAGTTGTGCACTTAAAATGGTTGAATTTTGTGTTAATTATATTTCAACAAATCTGTTTAAAAAGTAATACCACATTATAGGCACTTTGGAAAATAAAAAGAGAACAGGAAAATAACCAATATTCTATTTTTCTAATATAAGCACTATTTTTTTCCTGTATTTTGAGTCTTTATTTTCTAACATCATTATAGTTATGAAGTATACATACTGTTTCCTGCTTTTTCATAGACATCTCTTTATAATACAGCACAATATTTATAACCTTAATTGTTCATAAATGCATAGTTTTACATTGAGAAAAGATAATTAACCATTCTGATATTCTTTGAAATCAGACTTATCAAAATAAATCAGTCATATAAATATTGGTTTAAGAACTGGTATGAATTAGGCCGAGCACGGTGGCTCACACCTGTAATCCCAGCACTTTGGGAGGCCGAGGCGGGTAGATCACCTAAGGTCAGGAGTTTCAGACCAGCCTGGCCAACATGGTGAAACCCCTTCTCTTCTAAAAAAGTACAAAAATTAGCCAGGTGTGGTGGCAGGAGCCTGTAATCCCAACTACTTGGGAGGCTGAGGCAGGAGAATCGCTTGAACCCAGGTGGCAGAGGTTCTGCAACATCCCAGATCGTGCCACTGTACTCCAGCCTGCATCTCAAAACAAACAAACAAACAAACAAAAGCTTGTGAATTAAATAGTACATATGGAATGATTAATTTTGATGAGAAGAGTCCATTTTTCTAAAAGTAGGGAAAGAGAAGATGTATGAAGATACTAAGGAGATAGTTTGAGTTGGTCAAAGGGGAAATTAAGGTCATTTTTTCTGAGTAGTTGGAATTTTCTCCAGCGATATGATGTGATAATCTGATTCTCCAGTGTATGATGTGATCACTCACTCCAGTGAGTGATGAGTGTCAAATGGAAACTTGAAGACAGCAGGAAGGTTTGGAATTGCCTTTTGGGAACCACGAGAGAAAGTTTTAAGAAAAGAGAGAGAGAAAAAAAGTATAATGTGCAGACTAGAAAAAAATATAGCACCGCAGAGTGTTTACTGCATGATTCTAGGATGCACAGCCATGAAAGGAGAAAGCCAGCTCTGAGGGGTCCCCAAACGAGGGACTAGAATTATGCATGTAACACAGGATGTGGTGACAAGGGATTTTGTGATACTGGCAAAGAGCACTGACACTGACTGTGGTGTGCAGATGATAAGCTGAGCAGGATCAGGAGACCCTGGAGTACAGGAGGAGATTTTGTAGGAGGCTCTGGTCAGAATAGGGATTCCTAAAAATTCAGGGTTCCAGGCATGGTGGCACGAGCCTGTAATCCCAGCTACTCAGGAGGCTGAGGCAGGAGAATCGCTAAAACTGGGGAGGCGGAGGTTGCAGTGAGCCGAGATCAGACCACTGCACTCCAGCCTGGTGACAGAATGACCTCTGTCTCAAAAAAAAAAAAAAAAAAAAAAAAAAAAAAAAAAATTCAAGCTTCAGGTTTAGCAGGACTACTTAGGTATTTAGTTCAAGTTAATTATCAGTCAGGTCATGACAATACTTTTAACGCTGGCTTCTCGGAGAAGTCCAGGTGTGATAGTGCTTGAATCAGCCTCACTTACTTTCCTTAGTTGTTGGTGTCATTTTCCTCTCTCACTATATGCTTTATAATTGCTTTTTCATCTTATATCTTCATTGCTTATATGTGCTTTTATTATAATAACTTAATGTTTTTGCAAACATAAGATATACAATGTTTTTGAAATGGATAAAAACTCCCACTCACATGGGCTCACCATCACCTCTATTTATTAAAATAATTAATACTATTTTCTTATACCTAGATTGTGAAAGATGCATACCAAGAAAAGACAGCCACAGTTTATCCTGAACCGCAAAACAAAGAAGCATTTATCCGCTCCCAGATGTATAGTACTGATTATGACCAGATTCTACCTGATTGTTATTCTTGGCCTGAAGAGGTCCAGAAAATACAGACCAAAGTTGACCAGTAGGATAATAGCAAACGTTTCTAACTCTATTAATGAGGTCTTTAAACCTTTCATAATTTTTAAAGGTTGGAATCTTTTGTAATGATTCATAAAATGCTTAGATTAAGATTTTACTTTAAGAGTCTAAAAATTAATGGAAGAATATTGATATAAATTGGGATAAACATCATTTGAGACAATTTTGCTTCATTTTGGCTTCCCGTTATTTATGGTTTCTATCTGAATTATTCTGCCTACATTCTCTTTAAAAGCTATTGTACCTACTACTGAGAAACTCATTGTTTTTATACATGAAACTAATGGGAAGACCAAAATTAGTAATAAATTGATATAATCAACATTAAAATGCATAATTCTTTGGTTGACCATTTTGTTAAAATCTTTTTTTTTAAAAAAAGGTAGAATTGAATCTAGGTGTAGGTGAACTTTTGCTAAGCAGAAATAACATAACACTGTGTTGTTGCCTAGAGAAAGATAACTTCTCAGGTATTTTTATTCCAGTCCTAGATCATATATGTTCTTTAGTGCAGCCGAATTCTAACATTTCTAAGAAAGATCATTGCTGTTTACAATGCCTTGTACAGCCTTAGATTTTAATATTATTTTGTCATTGTTATAGCTCATAGAGTAAAGCTATTATTACCTTGCTCCAGAGCCAGAAATCCCACCTAAAACTACCTTTATTTCCCCTTGATCAGTCATCCTATCCTTCAGCTACTATACTGTTGCTGCAGGGCCTTTGTGGACTGTGGTCCCTGTTCAGAGGTTGATACCTTTAGTTCAGCACAGCCTGAGCAGTGAGGAGGTCTGAAAGGAGAGAATAAAGTTAAGATACGTGAGCAAGGGCTGCCTGAGGAACTGACCTCTTAAAGATCTCAGGAGTTAGTTCCTACTGGAGTTACCTGCCACAATGGCCTCTTGATTAACTCAAGTAACTAAGGGCTCACTGTGTTAGGATCACCTCACTTTCTCCTGAATTTGGACAAAGTGTTATAATTAAGTTCCCAATATCAGAAATTATCTTAAGGTATTAAAATATCTTGATTACCAAAACCGTTCTATAAGAAAGAGTAGTTATATGCCCAGATTGTATTAATTTATTTTAGAAACTAATGGTTGAAGTAATGGAAAAAATTTTAAATTATAAAGCTAAGGTGCAATAACATTTGCTATTTATTTGTAGAATTATTTGAAGAATTTTGTTTTTGAAGTAATGCTTTAAGGAGTATAAGATGTTCAAAATAAATTATACTATAAAATGATTTTATTGAAAGTTGAAGGTTACGCAAATTGTTTTAGGTATAAGCAGAAGAGGTTAAGGTATTTCTAAAGGTAACATATAGTCAAGAGTTTTCTCAAAATAGTTATTTGGAGAAGAATCAGAATGTCTATGTATTTCTTGTCTATGTTGTCTTAGAGTTCTAACCAAATGTGTTTACCCATGCAAAAGATTTATTAAAGCATAGAAAAAGTGAACGAATAAAAATATAAAATAATTGTCCTTGTTTCTTAAAATGTTACACTGTAATGCTGGGTCTTGGGTTCATATGATTATGTATGATGAATCCGTAAAATACTCTAATTGCTAATTTCAGTATGAACATCATTCATTTAATATATGTGGCTGAGCACGGTGGCTCACGCCTATAATCCCAGCACTTTGGGAGGCTGAGCCAGGCAGATCACCTGAGGTCAGCAGTTCGAGACCAGCCTGGCCAACATGGTGAAACCCTGTCTCTACTAAAAAAATACAAAACTTAGCTGGGCTTGGTGGCTCATGCCTGTACTCCCAGCTACTTGGGAGGCTGAGGCATAAGAATTGCTTGAATTGGACGTTGCCATGACTGAGACCGTGCCACTGCACTCCAGCCAGAGTGAGACTCTGTCTCAAAAAAAAAAAAACTACGTAATCACATATTCTGGACACTGTGATGTATGAGCCACTTCCTTGTCCTCAGGTAAGATAATGAAATAAAGATTAGTTAGTTACTTACTAGGTGTCAAGTATGCCACATACATTATTTTAATTTAATGTAGTCCCCTCACTTTGCTTATGAAGTTGGTATGTTAAGTAACTTGCCAAGTCCACAAAGCTAATAAGTCAAGAAAGTAACCTTGACATCCATGTTTACCTTTCTTTACAGTTTCTTCTCCTTTCCCTAGGCTATAGTCTGGAACAGCACTGTCCCATGTGTAATTTTAAATTTCCTAGTAGCTTCATAAAAAAAAAAGACACTGGTGGAATTCATGGTAATAATATATTTTGTTTAAACCAGTATATCCAAAATATTATCACTTCAACATGTAATCAACATAAAATTATTAAGATAATTTATTTTGTTCCTACTGTCTTCAAAATCCAGCACATATTTTACACTTATCTTTTTTTTAATTTTACTTTAAGTTCTGGGGTACATGTGCAGATCTTGCAGGATTGTTACATAGGCATACACATGCCATGGTGGTTTGCTGCCTCCATCCCCCCATTACCTACATTAGGTATTTCTCCTAATGTTATCCCTCCCCTACCCCCCACCAACAGACCCCAGTGTGTGATGTTCCCCTCACTGTCTCCATGTGTTCTAATTGTTCAACATTCTCTTATGAGTGAGAACATGTGGTGTTTGGTTTTCTAGTCTTGTGTCAGTTTGCTGAGAATGATGGTTTCCAGATTCATCCATGTCCCTGCAAAGGACATGAACTCATCCTTTTTTATGGCTGCATAGTATTCTATGGTGTACATGTGCCACATTGTCTTTATCCAGTCTATCATTGATGGGCATTTGGGTTGGTTCCAAGTCTTTGCTATTGTAAACAGTGCTGTAGTGAACATATGTGTGCATGTGTCTTTTTAATAGAATGATTTATAATCCTTTGGGTATATACTCAGTAATGGGATTGTTGGGGCAAATGTTATTTCTATTTCTAGGTCTTTGAGGAATTGCCACACTGTCTTCCACAATGGTAGAACTAATTTACATTCCCATCAAGTCTGTAAAAGTGTTCCTGTTTCTCTACTTCCTCTCCAGCAACTGTTGTCTCCAGGTTTTTTAATGATCGCCATTCTGACTGGCGTGAGATGGTATCTCAGTGTGATTATGATTTGCATTTCTCTAATGACCAGTGATGATGAGCATTTTTTCATATGTTTGTTGGCCGCATAAATGTCTTCTTTTGAAAAGTTTCTGTTCATATCCTTTGCTCACTTTTTGATAGGGTTGTTTGTTTTTTTCTTGTATATTTGTTTTAGTTCTTTGTAGATTCTGGATATTAGCCTTTTGTCGGATGAGTAGCTTCCAAAAAGTTTTGACCATTCTGTTGGTTGTCAGTTCACTCTATTGATAGTTTCTTTTGCTGTGCAGAAGCTCTTAAGCTTAATTAGATCCCATTTGTCTATTTTGGCTTTTGTTGCTATTGCTTTTGGTATTTAATTATGAAGTCCTTGCCCATGCCTATGTCCTGAATGATATTGCCTAGGTTTTCTTCTAGGGTTTTTATGGTGTTAGGTCTTAAGTTTAAATCTTTAATCCATCTGGAGTTAATTTTTGTATAAGGTGTAAGGAAGGGGTCCAGTTTCAACTTTCTGCTCATGGCTAGCCAGTTTTTCCAACACCATTCATTAAATAAGGAAACCTTTCCCCATTGCTTGTTTTTGTCAGGTTTGTCAAAGATCAGATGGTTGTAGGTGTGTGGGGCTGCTTCTGAGGCCTCTGTTCTGTTCCATTGGTCTATATCTCTGTTTTGGTACCAGTACCATGCTGTTTTGATTACAGTAGCTTTGTAATATAGTTTGAAGTCAGGTAGTGTGATGCCTCCAGCTTTGTTCTTTTTGCTTAGGATTGTCTTGGCTGTGCGGGCTCTCTTTTTGGTTCTATATGAAATTTGAGTGTTTTTTTCCAGTTCCGTGAAGAAGGTCAATGGTAGTTTGATGGGATAGCACTGAATCTATAAATTACTTTGAGCAGTATGGCCATTTTCATGATATTGATTCTTCCTAACCATGAGCATGGAATGTTTTTCCATCTGTTTTGCCATCTCTTATTTCCTTGAGCAGTGGTTTGCAGTTCTCCTTGAAGAGGTCCTTTACATCCCCTGTTAGTTGTATTCCTAGGTATTTCATTCTCTTTGTAGCAATTGTGAATGGGAGTTCACTCATGATTTGGCTCTCTGTTTGTTACTGGTGTATAGGAATGCTTGTGATTTTTGCACATTGATTTCGTATCCTGACACTTAGCTGAAATTTTTAATTCAGTTCAGACTAGCCACAATTCTCAGTAGCCACATCTGGTTAGTGACACCATATTGCACAGTGCACGCTTAGAAGAGACAGTTATATATCAATAGCTGTAACACTGCATCTCCATGAGAAAAGTGAAGCAGAAGTTTGCAGGAAATGTTTATTCAAAAATATTTTGGTAAATAATGCCCCAATAAAATAGATAAAAAACAATTTATGCCAGCCTCTCTTCATAAGCCTGCCATGCATATTTGGAAGGGAGCATAGCCCCAGAACAAGAACATTATTTAACAATCTTTTATAGAATGCTCACTTTGCTATTAAAAAAGAAATGTAAAATGCTACTAGAGCACACATGGAACAAATAAATTATATAGTGAGAAGGAGATGTCAGAAAAAAAGAATATAATAACATATTAATGTTAATAAAATTAGACAAAAAGAGGAAAATTTAAAAAGACAGATCACTTTATCACAAATATACAGTATCCAAAGAATTAAATTTACATTCTAAATGTAAAAAAAAAATCTGAAATTAAGAATTCATCAGACAGATGCCTTAACAACCAACTGGAGGTCATGGAGGAAAGGATCAATGACCTCAAAGGCAGGTCATTAGAAATTAGAAATTACCAAATTTTTTTAACTTTTAGGTTTGGAGGAAAGTTTGTTATATAGGTAAACTTGTGTCATGAGGGGTTTGTTGTATGGATTATTTTATCACCCAGGTAATAAGCCTAGTACCTAATATTTTTTCTGCTCCTCTCCCTCCTTCTGCCCTCCACTGTCAAGTAGACCCCAGTGACTGTTGTTCCCTTCTTTCATGAGTTCTCATCATTTAGCTCCCAGGTATAAGTGAGGACATGTGATATTGGTTTTCTGTTCCTGTGCTAGTTTGTTAAGGAAAATAGCCTCTAGCTCTATCCACATTGCCACAAAATACATGATCTTATTCTCTTTTATGGCTGCATAGCATTCCATGGAGTTCCTGTACCACCTTTTCTTAATCTGATCTGGCATTTATGGGCATTTAGGTTGATTCCATGTCTTTGTTATTGTGAATAGTGCTTCAGTGACCATTCATGTGTGTGTGTCTTTATGGTAGAATGATTTATATTCCTCTGGGTATATAGCCAGTAATAGGATTACTGGGTTGAGTGGTAGTTCTACTTTTAGTTCTTTGAGGAACTGCCATACTGTTTTCTACAATGGTTGAACTAATTTGCATTCTCACCAACAGCGTATAAATTTTCCCTTTATTCCACAACTTTGCCAATATCTGTTATTTTTTTGACTTTTTAATAATAGCCAAAATGTCATGAAGCCATTCTGACTAATGTCACAATGAGATAGTATCTCATTGTGGTTTTGATTTGCATTTCTCTAATGATCAGTGATATTGAGCCTTTTATCATGTTTGTTGGTTGCATGAATGTCTTCTTTTGAAAAGTGTCTGTTCATGTCCTTTGCCCACTTTTTAGTGGAGTTGCTTTTTCTTGTAAATTTGTTTAGGTTTCATATAGATGCTGGATATTAGACCTTTGTCAGATGCATAGTTTGCAAATATTTTCTCCTATTTTGTAGGTTGTCAGTTTACTCTACTGATAGTTTCTTTTGCTGTATAGAAGCTAAATTTAATTAGATTTTGTTTGTCAATTTCTGCTTTTGTTGCAGTTGCTTTTGATGTCTTTGTCATGAAATCTTTGCCTCTTTCTATGTCAAGGATAGTAATGCCTAGGTTGTCTTCCAGGATTTTCATAGTTTTGGGTTTTACATATAAGTCTTCAATCTATCTTGAGTTGATTCTTTGTATGGTATAAGGAAGGGGTCCAGCTTCAATCTTCTACATATGGCTAGCCAGTTATCCCAACACCATTTATTGAATAGGGAGTCTTTTCCCCATTGCTTGCTTTTATTAGCTTTGTCAAAGACCAGATGGTTGTAGATTTGCAGCCTTATTTCTGGGTTCTCTATTCTGTTCCATTGGCCTATGTGTCTGTTTTTGTACCCGTACCATGCTGTTTTGGTTACTGTAGCCCTGTAGTATAGTTTGAAGTTCTGTAATGTGATGCCTACAACTTTGTTCTTTTTGCTTTGTATTGCCTTGGCTATTCAGGCTGTGTTTTGGTTCCATGTGAATTTAAAAATAGTCTTTTCTAGTTCTTTCAGAATATCGGCTAGGTGTGGTGGCTCATGCCTATAATCCCAGCACTTTGGGAGGCTGAGGTGAGTGGATCACCTGAGGTCAGGAGTTCCAGACC